AAATTAACATAATAAGTTTAAGGGCTGAGATGAATAAAGTGAAAGAAGTCTTCCTTGGTGTTAGTGAAAGGATTAGAGAACGGTGAGTTGGTGTAGACACTATATCGGAAGTTGACTTCGGCTTGAGTTGTTGTTGAGGGTAAGCGATGAAGCATTCACATTGAACTCGCTCCGCCGGCTTTCACAAAAGTAAATAAATACGAAATGTTAATCCGTTTCAAAATTTGTAACGCTCACCAACAAAATTTGTTCAACATAACGGCGCTTGCACTGGAACAGATCAATTTGTGAAACTAACAGTCATATGTATAGAAGACCAAAATGACAAACTAGCTGTGTTACAATCACTTAACGACTTTCAAGAAAATTTAAGCTAAATTATGCAAACGCTTTTTTTGTTACCAGAATAATTCTCCTCTCACTTTTGAAGAGCTAGAAAATACGCTGAGTATTGAATCGGTGGAACCAATGTCGTTGAGTATGTCACATTTCATAGTCTCTCGAAAGGATTGACACGGCACCGCATATTTTGATTAGTGTGGAGATTTATGCCTGCTCTCTCCTAAATATTTCAATGTTTTTGGAGTTTATACATATATCTCTGAATAAGCTCCTCTTGATACCTACATCTGCTGTAGAGAGGATATACCGTTAATAGTCAAGGAAAAATAGTTTTCGTAAGAAGCTGGTTAATCTTTCAATAGTCAGTAACATAAATGCATGAAATTTTTCTATAAAGAACAGGTTGATCAAAATAAACAGTCTCGCTCGCACCTTACACATAGGGTTGCTTCAGATACCTAATGTGGAGTGGTTACATAAATAAAACGTTTAGAGATATTCTCGAGTTTGCCGACAAACTTTATTACGCTATCAAAATGTTGTAGATAAGGTTACATTAAAATATTGATTTTAATAAAAAAAGAAATAGCAACAAAATTTCATGTTCTATTTTGTAAGAGAAGAACCACTGTGCCAAAAAATAAGAACAGGGTGCTCCTGGGAGTAGACTGTTTAAGTCCTATTTTCTGTTGAACGAATTCATATTCACGCATTACGTGACAGTTTTTCCGTTTATTTCAATACAAATAGCATAAAAATTAAGAGCAGAAGTTAGGTCACAGGTCGATGGCACAAGCCGACGAAAAATATGACAATTTCCCGTTTATTTAATTTTGTTACTATTTCATGCCTTGTTTGCATTTTTGCCAGCCGCACATATGGTTCGGATCAGTGCGCCTGGGATCACTTGAAAATTATCCTTTTTTGGCATGTTTTTCGCTTTTTTCCTTCGGCCTCAGCATAGAGACGACAGTTGCCGTTCAATGGTGAGAAAATTAAGCTCATTAAGTACCGATTGCTGAGAACATTGAGGTTGTGGGGAAACGCGATTTAATTCAAAGCGTCAGAAAATGTTTATTTATGTAGGTGTGTAAGTGTAAAATTGTTAAAAAGCGTGAACGAAATTAAAAAACAAATATTATGAGAACAAGGTTGCCATTTCTTTAATGGTCTCATTTAATTGTGCTTCATTAATTTTCTTCTTATTGCTTATTTCGACATTTAAATATCACCGGAATTAATGAGTTATACATTTTCGTAAAGCAAAATTAAATTTACCTGTATATATATATACACACAATTGCATATATATGTATAATTTCCAAATTTAATTATCACTTCCTTTGTAAATTGTCTGGCTTAAACTATGCTCACCACAATGCCTATATGCGAGCATGTACATATATAACTACATGTTCATATGTATATTATATTTTTGAAAATTATATAACTTTTGCGCACGTAATTAAAATGGAATGCCACCAAAACAATAAAAGCCAACAAATTCGACATTCACTAAATGCTAGCAAACTAAAGTCATTAAATAAATCTTAACAATGTGCGAATGGGGAACAATCATAGCCGCAGACAGAAAGCACAAAATTAATAATGCGCAGATGCGTTAACGCGGGCAGAAGGCAGGCGCTCACGCTTGAAAACGAAATACAATTTTCATAACTTTCCTCACTTTCGGCTTTGTTTTTCAAGCACATACATACAGACACATATTAACTTACATGCTAGGTTTTAGCCCTGGATTATTGTGTGTCTTTGGTAATAGGGTATACTGTAAAAAAAATACAATAAGTAAATCTTTTGGACTTGTCATATAGAAGGTGGAACATGAAAAAAAGAAGAAAAAAACTAAAATTTATGCAACTGCCAACTACATACTTACTAAAGCAACTTAACACCTCATCAAAATTGAACCGGACTGACAAACAAAAAAATTGGAATTTTAATTAAAATCCTTATTATTGCCTTTAAAATAGGAGCGAAATCAAACATGCCAACGCTTAAGTAAACTTTCCATTCCACTTGTTATAAGCCTCGGCCCAGATGGCTTTCAGTGCCTTCAACGAATAATTTTTAATGATGTCAATGGACACTTGGTGTGTTTCCCGAGGCGTTTAGAAAATTAAAAAATAGTCATCGGCTTGTCCAAAAGGTCAGTCACAATCACACTAGAATGTGACGGCGCATTGTGGTGAATATGGCATGAATTTTTTGCCTTAAAACGGACAAGCGATTAATTTTCTTATTGAGCATTTGACTCTGTGGAACGTATTCATGCTGAATAACGCTAGGGAAATAAGCATCACCTGGATTTTTGAAATATTTCGGTTTAGGCTTATTTTTGGAGCGCCATACGCTAGATTTTTGAACAGTTTAGACGTCATATTCCTGAACCCATGTCTCGTCACCATTAATTATTTGTTTGATGAAAGCAGTAACCTCAACTACACATCGGTTGTCGATTATCTCTTTTGAGAACATTTTAACCTTTTCGATGTAACGGTCACTCGTTGCCATAGTCGTCATTCCATTGGAAACACAAAATTTCAAGCATTCAAGCAATTTTCTCTTTCTTCACCAAACAGCAGTCAAACACAGACAAATTGACATATGGCGACAAAGCTTCATATGAACATAAAATAAGGTTGTTTTTACCAATCTACGATAAAAATTTTGATCAATTTGATTTGCGCGCGCAATATAAATGAACCAAGTCAAATCGGAGTCAAATTTGGTGGTATTCCTCCATAAATTCGAGAAACAACTGGTTATACAACCCTGTATGGCACCAGGCATACTATCAGAAAGGCTACAAATCATTGGAAGTTTATGCTTGCAGAAAAATAATTAAACTTTTGTGCTTCTACTCCGTTATCATGGCAAAGAAAATAATGCCTCAATTTTTCTCAGTGTACTCAACTCTGGTATTTACCCAAAAATCAATGAAAGTGAATACAAAATAATTTGAGTGAAAATAAAATTTTCGTGTTATTGTATTTGTTGTGCTGAATCTATGTATGCGGCATCCTTTGCCGCCAGCATTTATCATAATTTAAACTTTCTGTTATTCTCTATAATGTATTTGTTTAGTGTTGTGCCATTGTTGTCAGCGCTATTGTACTGCGCGGCTTTTGTGGCACACTCACTGATTGCAACAAAAACCAATTTTCAAAGGTTACAATTCAAATCAACAAACAAACACTAAACTGAATAACAGGATTTTACAAAATATACAAAACAAATATGTGAAAAAGGGAAAAATTTAAGCTCATAGTTACCTTTGCTCGAGAAGCCTTTGAAGCAGTTACTTGATGCCGAGCCGCAACCGAATGTGTCGCCAAAGTTTTTTAAGGTAACTTTATTATGTTAAGCATTAAAAAGCAACGCCAAATGTAAAAGGGGGAAGTAACAAATTTGAGTTGGGTTGCAAACTCGCTTGACTTGCACTTAGCCGCTGACTGCGCTGTCGTCGTTTTGCTGCGTGCATTTGCGTCGCACGCTGACGCCGCTTCAATTGAGCCGTTAAGTCAGTTGTGATCGCTTTGCTAGCGTTATTTATTTGCTTGCTCTGTTTTGACACTTGAAGGGTTGCGCTGACTTGTTGTTGTTGTTTGCGCTGTTGTTTGTTCAGTCGCCGTTATTAGGGTTGCCACTTCGCCGGTCCGACGACGGCCTTGCCTACAATTGGAATCGGGTGCCCTTCTTTTACTGACAGCAGCTATAATTATTGTTGTGTCATTGTTGTTGTACTGGCAATGTTGCGTCATTTTGCGCCAGCGAAGCGAATATCATAGCGACCAAACAGTCGAAAACTTCCGAAAGAGTTGGCGAAGACGGCAAAACTGCGCACGTCAATGCGACAAACTTAAAGACTTTAGTTGGTTTTCGCTTTTGTGTTGTTGTTGCTATTTGTTTGCTTACTTCTTTGTTAACAGCGTTGACACTTAAGCCGGCGAAATGCCGGAGAGTTGGGGGGGTTCGTTGGTGGGACATGGCTATGCGCATATTTTCCCTTGAAAGTTTAAATGTATTTATAACATTTTAATTGTATTTAATGTTTGTTCACAACTTTGTTCATGAATCCGAGGTTTTTATGGGCTTCAAGGGCTAAAGCCGCGTCAACGGATGAGAGTGGCTTTTAAATTAGGTAGCAAATGATTTGTAGGCACCTTCTTTTGTTTTGCTTCGGTGACCTTCGTCTTTCGAGTTTTGCATAATTGTTGTTGTCTTTTTTGAAATATTTTTTGTGACCCCAATACCGTTCGGGTAATTAATGTTGTTTTGTTAGCGCTGGCAAATAAATGTTTGCGAAAAGTTGCCGCAGAGCCGGGGGCCTAAAGCGAGCAAATTACCGATGTTGAGGTCAGCGAGTTACAAATACCTGAATAAAAATGGTAGAGTTATTAGCACTATATTTGTAAAAGTAACAATTTATTTATTTTCTGCTTTATTCTTTCGAGAATAATGAATTTGGTGACATCTAAATGCAGCAAAATCTAAAAGTAATCAATTTATAGCAATTAAAAGCCGAAGCAACTAATTTTCAAGTAAATTTTATGAAGGAAATATATTTTTAATAAGACATACAACATAATTTTCTAAAATTTTTTCTGATGAAATTGTTATTTGATTTTACCTTACAGGTCTCCTGGATAAGAAAACGTGACTTACACATATTAACCGCTGGTTCCACGACCTACACGTCAGATCAGCGATTTCAGGTGAGCTATTTGCTAATATAATTAATTATTTTTAAAAAATCTAACAGTGTGTTCTTGAAGCTCCATACACCCGTGTTCATTTGCCATTTTTGTGTATGGCCTATACCACCAAAGCAAGAGTTTTCAAAATTTTCAATCTAAAGCGAAATAAATTTTTCTTGTCCCCTAAGCGGATGCAACCTTTCCTTGTAACAATCATAGTTTCTTGTCATATTTCGATAGGCTATAACTTAAAAAAAAAAAATTACTAAATTTTTAAAACGATATTTCAAATAGTTTTTGAGTTACAGCTTTCTAAAGTGTATCCGCTCAGTTCAATCAGCAATTTTTTGACCTGTTAAAAAATCGAATTTTGCAGGCCAAAAGCGACCAAAATTTTATGTAACTTTTAATTTGTTTTAACGCCCCCATTGTAAGAGCTTTTGATTGTTTTCCGACCGTAGGCACAATATTTTCTATTACAACATTTTTTTTTAAGTTTAATCTGCGCTGAAGGTCGGAAGCACTGCAGAGTTGGAGTACCTTTTTTTTTAATGCCGTCGGAGATCGCTTGTAACTCGAATAATAATTTATTTTTTGCTTTCAAAAATTTACTGTGTATTCACAAAATAAATATATATATTTACTCTTAAAATTTTGAAATAATTGATAGAGTAGTTGTTTTTTCTTAAATTCCTAAAAATCGCCTTATAAGGCTCTTACACTAGCTGTGCCCCTTAAACTCGAGTTTGTTGTGCAATTAACCTAAAACTTAACTGGAAAATAAATTACAACTTATGAAAATGTATTTTTCGTCTTAGGTTATACGACCTGAAAATTCGGGCAATTGGACCCTGCAAATAAAATATCCACAGCAGCGCGACTCTGGCATCTACGAATGCCAGATCAACACGGAGCCGAAAATGTCGCTTTCATACACGTTCAATGTGATTGGTGAGTAACCGGAATGAGTTCACAATCAAATATTTCACTAAATTACTAGTCATAAATCCACACAAAGTACATATTTAAGTATTATTATTATTATTTTTTTTTGGTTTATTTTTCTATTTGAGTTAAAGTTTCGCACATTCTCTTCACTGTTGCTGTAGCGTAAAGCATTTGTAAGCACATAGTGCGCTGCAAACAATATTGTGGAGTGCAACCTAATATATACATTGAAGTTGCTTATTCAAATTTACATTCTATGCAAGTAGAGCACTACAAGTTGCCACACATTCGGCCTTCAATTTACTTAAGTAGCAAGTTAGTCTAACAAAGTTGTTCTTCAAAGGGCAGCAGATATGAAGGAGAGATGACTGATATGGCTTCCTTTACTGTCAGTTAAATAATTTTATTTTTGTCTCTGTCTCGAAATATTTCAAAATTGATAAAGAATGTATATATATATATATATAGAGGAGGGTTATATATAATATATTTACAAAAACATTGGACATTTGTTATTGAAAACTTTAAAAATTCAAACAAAAAAGAAGAAGAGAGAGAACTGCAGTTTCGATGCAATTTGGCTAATGCAAAATGCAAATATACAAAAATATATACATTTTCAAGCATGCAGCTTGAGCTCTTAAAGAATGCTTTCAACAGTCTACAAACATACACACACGCGCTTGAGAGAGAGCTTGCATTCAGGAATTGTGTTGAATTTATTATAAATGAAAAATAAATGAAATTAATAAGAATAAATATATTATATTTATGTACAAAATAAAATTTAATGTATATTTGAGCAGATTACGATTTTAGATATTTTCTTTTACACCACAAATTTGTCACATAATCACCTTTGTTGCAGCTTATTCCTGCTTCACCTTCGTAGTTAAATTTAACTTAACAGCAAGCTCAATTATGTAAATTATAAATGCAATTGCAGCATATGAATATCGAATTTAGCAATGAAAATCTCTTTCTTTGCTTGCGGGCTTATCTCCTTGCAAGTGTATATTTAAAGCAAGCATAAATCGCTTGTGCATCATATGCCCCGCTGACCCAATTCCAGCGGCTCAGACCAAACAGCAATCTACCAAATCTACACAATCATCATTGGCTTTGCTGCGGCTATTTTCGGTTATTTTATGTAGTTACAATGCATTCTTAAAAGTGCTTTCATCGGAGCACCTGTGTATGCGTAACAGAGCTTTAAAGTAAACATATGCGTAAACTCATAATATACTGGTAATATGATCTCAAGCATATTTACGATGTAATCCGCATAAGCGAACGTAAGACGTAATAAAACTTACAGCACTAACAACACTTGTGTACACATGCAGGCAAATTCCAACAGATAGTATTTTAGAATGAAATTTCATGCTGCTTTTATAAGTCTAGCAGATAGAAGAGCAGGCACTTTCTACCGTTACATCAATATTAATTATTTTATATGGCTTTAATCATCTAGTGCATTTATATACAAGTATATTTTGTAAGGAAATGTCGGAAACCCTTTAAGATGTATATATATATGTTAGGGTGGAGCGAAATTTTTTTTTTTTTGCTTAGCCTGCTAAAAAATAAAAATTTTTGGAAATAAACAAAAAACATAACATCTAGCCTCATTTTTAAAGTAAACTTTCGGTTAAAATTTTTAGTTCGTAAAATTTTTTTGATAAGTGTTCTAGAAGCCTTATTCAGGCGAATTAAAAGTTATCAACTTAAAAAAATTTTTGGTGGTCATTATTGGAGTTTAAAAAAAAAAGTCTTAAACGACATCATGCTTTTCTTAAGCGTTACAATAAATTTTGAGTCAAAAACTGTCAAATTCGGTAATTTTTATATAAAAGTGAAGAATTTAAACCAACAAAACTTAGTTTTTGTCCAAAAAATATTTTGAATCGAAATGTACTTTAAAAGTGAGTGGGCCGCCTCTAGATGTTAACAAAATTTTTTTTTTACTTCCAAAACTTTTCTTTTTTTTTTAATCTACAAATTTTACCCTCAGGCTTAGCAAAAACAAAAAAAAAAATTTCGCTCCACCCTAATATATATGAGAAGCTTTTCGTCCGCCTGTCTATATACCGTATATATATACAGTCTATACCGTTTTCAAATTTTACACACGTCCTGTTCGCTCCAAGAAGCTGTCCATTGGTGGAACTGCCGATATCTGACCGCTATAGGATATGTTGTCACACAATTTGATCATTCAGTATCAAACCCTTGTATGGAAAACTTTTTTGTTCGACAAAATATATTAACGAAATTCTGCACAGATTATTGCCCAAAATAACGCTATAATCTCAGAAAAAATTGTTTAGAACAAGCTACTATAGCACATATATCTGCCATACAAACTAATCGATTAAAATCAAGACAAAGATCGTTTTATACCCTTTTATGTTATAATAAATGACCCTTTGAAGTGTAATATAGCTTCGATATAGGCGAAGTTAACTTTTTTCTTGTTATATCTAAGCTTTTTACAACTAAATAATAACATGCAATTATCTTTGCATTTTAAATAAATGTGTAATATTATTATGTATAAGTAGTTGTATTGATTTCTTTCAACCAAAATAGACCGAAAGTTGTAGTACGTTCCTCTACAACTATTATTGATTTCTTCGCTTGCCAAAAAGCAAATATTTGCTAAGAAAACATATTTGTTTAGATTCCTAACTCTTACTTTGTTAAACATAAACATATAAATATTTCGTATGCAAAATTCAAAAGTAAATATGTGCCTAAGAAGTGCAAGTTAAACTCGTGTTCTTTTTGTTGCTGTGTTGTGCTGTTAAACAGAATACTCTACAAACGCATTTACCGTTGGCACAAATTTGAACAATAACTTTTTTTTATTCTTCTACATTTACCTGCAAATATTTCGTTATGTGCTTTAATATTGTTCAAAGTGCGCTTTAAGAATTCACTCGCAAATTTACAATGCAAAATTTAAAAGAGGCTGCAATGTCAGAGTGGCCTAGAGAAGAGATATTTGCATTAAATTTTAAATCCACAAACTCGATACTTGGCTGCCACAGCATAAAGAAAAAAGCATGTTAATTTATATTTTTATATAAATATTTTCTTTTAAATGCACACCTAATTTACGGTTGTCTGAATTGATCAGTTGGAGTAGCTGCCTCTTCATTTCTATTGAATATATAATAATGTAGAGTGGGTATGTGTATATGTGCTTGTATATCCATGTACTTAAATCTCCACTACATTATTTAACTCACTTCAAATTTCTGTTATATACTCTTTTGAAGAATCACTTAATACGTTTTGAATGATAAAATTAATTCCGCCTAATTGTAACTGTTATGTACTACCTAATAACCGTTCTAACTTAATTTTGAAGCAATTTGTTCATACTATAAATGCGAGTTAAAATTTTTGTGAAAATTATAATATTATATTGCATATAATCGGCATATTTCTGACTATAGTTTTAAATGAAAATCATGTCCATAAACTAATTTGGTTCTGCAAACAACACACGAGTATATCTAAATAGAGAGTGAGCACTCGCCGGTAACATTTTCCTTTACCTAAAAATTTTTCAGAAAATCTAATGTTGGATTCAACCTGTATTTAACGTTATCTTACATAGTTTTTTTTTTTTTTTTTTTTTTTTTGAGATTCTGTTTTTTCGATAAACCCATCTAGGCTTTCAACGCGGCAATCGCTTTAGATTTTAAAATTAACTACTGCCATAAACTATCTCAATGCATTCCAATTCGAGTGAAATGGGCCACATATCCTTGCAGTCTATCATATATGTATGTATATGTATACGTAAATATATTTTGAACGAGTGTCTGCTATGAAAATTCACAGGTCATAAACGAACTGAAGAGCGCTTGAATGAAACTTTTGATTTGTTTATTGAGTTGCTTGTTAAATGAGTTAAATTCACATACTCTCACGATTGTATATTCGCATTCACATTTTCACACATTACTCGTATGTAAGTAATCAGCGTATATAACTGTACGTTAAGTGTGTTAAGTTGTCTGAGTGTAAACTTATGCGCATACAAGCTCTACTTGGCTTAAAGATAAATTGCCGTTAAATAAAAACATAGCTCGCAAGAGTTGTGAATGCAACTGGATGCCTTTGTTTAATTTATTGAAGCGAGCGTGTTACAAGAAATGTATTTATCCGAGCTTTTGTATCGCTTACGGCATTGCCTGCATCAATTTAACAAGCAGCTGCTGGCGTCTGAGCATTCGTTAAGAATACGTTGCATTGTATTTCATTTAGTTATGCTTTTGCAGTGGTTTAAAGGCAAAATATGCATTTTAATGTGAGACATGGCGTATGAGTAACGCTAAAGCAATGCATTTTATGGGTGTTGTAGCAGAAGTTATTATTATTATTAGAGTTTTTGAAATGGAGTATTATTTTGATTTCGTATTCTATTATAAATTTCTCTCACAATCAAGCTTCAAGCATTCATTTATAATATGGCGTTGTCAGCTATTCCCTGGGCTTTTTTGCACTGCACACTGTTCAATTCAAATTTTTTCGGGAAAAAAATGTTTCTCAAACTGGCACAACGTAAAACAGGTTTTTGATTACAAATCTAAATTCAACTATGTTTAAATTTATATTTTTATATTTTCTAAAAACGAGTGACGTAAATGCCACTCAAAATTTCACCGGCTATTCTGACAATAAATATTAAATTTGTATTAAGATATTGAAATCGAAACCTATTGCTCGTTTCCGGTGTTATGCCTTCAATCAATTATGCTTTTGCTATACTTGCTTCCATTGAAAACACTCCATCTCCAACTCTTTCAAGTAATATTGCTTTTGTGGATCACTCGTCGCTCATCTTTGCTCTTGACAAGCACAGTATTCAATTTCGCTTTTTGGCTGCCTTTGTGCCTCCTCACATCTTCAGCTTCTCAGTTCTTCAATTTCACACAAAATTCGATTACTGCAGCCGGAGGTGGGGCGCTCGGGCACACTTGGTGCCATAGTGAAATGAAAATATACAAGCCCAGCTGGTATACCTCATGCATGGAGAGATTTTCTTAGAGTATCTAAGAACCTATTTTTCAATAACAAATATTCGTGTGCTTTGACCCACTCTAATTTATATATATATATAAATATATAATATATATGTGATTCCATAAGCAAATTTGTATGTATATTTATATATATATATATATATATATATATGCATGTGTGTGGGTGGAATGAAATTTGATACGTTAACTCAATTTAGTAGGTAAATTGCAGCCGATTTGCATAAATTACTTATTGAGGACGCATTTACCTGTGCATAACGGCACATGTGAGAGTGTGCTTATTATATTGATATATGCGCGTGTGTGTAAGTTGTAAGTGAGACGAACCTAAAAGTGTGAGTTTATGTTTGTTCATTATTTTTCATGCTAAACGTGCAACACGCAGCGCGAAATTGCCTGTATGTCTGCAACGGAGCGCTCAGCTGGCTATTGTTGTGACGAGCACAAGTGGAGGTGTGCTCAACTAACGGAAAATTTCAGGTCACGTTGCTGTTATGAATTTTAATATGCGAAATTGACAAAATATGTTAGCCAAGCACACTCATAATAAATAGAAAACATCCAAAGGGCAAACATCTTCGCTCAGTATGCTTGTGTGCGTGTGTGTGTGCTAACTGTAAAGTCGTGCTGCTTGTGTTAAGTGAGCAGACATGCTATTGTTGTATAGGTAATAGGGAGTGTCAGCCTGTCTGCATGGCACGCACTCTCACCTACATTGTGAGAAAATATTCAAATTGAATAAATAAATGAGAATTTTATGCAGCGAACATGAAAGCAATATATTTTACTTTCTCTGTGGGGAACGTTGTTTTTTTTTTTATACAAGCAAGTTCAAATATTTATTGAGTTGTAATATTAATATTTCATACCAAATAATATATATAAATTCAGCTAGCGCTAGTTTCGCTAATCTATTTTTAATCGCCAAATTTCATTTTCTGACCAACTAATTCGTGCCAATTTCAAGTCGAGAAAATTCGCTACAACTCTGCGCTCAATTTTGCAAAGCCGAAATTGTTCCAATTTCAACGAAAATAATGGCATAAAACTAGCAACCGCTCAATGCGCCTAAAAGCATGCAATTCATTTTCATGTTCTCAAATATGCAAGCATGTAACACTTTTATTTTTATAAAGCAATATTTTGTCTTCGTTTTGTTTTTTCTTTACTCGCATACATTTCATTCTCCGTGTATGTGTGAGTGTGTACGTGTGTTTGCTTACGCGCTACTAAACTTGGCATATTTCAAATTTATCACACTTGGCTTACAGCCAGGCGCAGCACAAATAAATAACAACAACAATGGCAACAACATATGCCGACACCGTTATATGCGCATAAGCAAGTGAAATATATACACCATATATGTATGTATATGAGCGGCTGGCTTCAGTCGTAATAACAACAAAAAATCGCTAACTGAAAAACGGAAAAAGACTATTTTGCATACAAACACACACACACATACAGACTGTATACATGTGAATAAGTGTGCACATGCTTGCACTGCTAGAAGCGCAGTTAGTACGTTTGCATGACTCGCTTAGTATTGGTAGTTCGGCGCAATGTGGAACATAAAAATGCACTTGCTTTGAAGCGCAGCCTGCATGCATAAGCCGCCGAAGCAAAAGAAAAATATATTTTATTATGTTAGCATGTCCTCTGGATCTACCCACACATCTTCCGTACCTATTCTACTACATTTGGCACAGGTTGCCGCGCGTTGTAAAAACCAGATGCAGCGACATTTACAAGCTTAAGGTTCAAACCAATAAACTCAGGTGCAAACACATACAAGTAAAACTGATTTATGTTTCAAGATGATTTGGGTTTTGGTTGGGTATGAACGCTTTTAATGTTAGGCAAACACACAAATCTTAGAAGTGGTTTTCAAATTAAGAAGCTACATAAATTTTTTAATAGGCTAATAGTTTCTGAGTTATGAGCTTATTGGTAAAAATGTTTGACTTAGTGTAATCGGCCTCCAATACTTGACACTCTTTTTTTGAAGCTTTCTGCGAAACGGATAGACCGAGCAGAAAAATATGATTCACCATCAGAAATACTTTTCGGCTCTCGCCCTGGTGATCGGCTACGGGAATTAGAAAATCAAAAATTATTCAAAATGAACCACAGATTACGAAAGTAAAAAAGTCTTTAGATAAGCCAGAAATATAGCTCACTTTTAGGCGCAATTAATATTAATATTTTGATATTTTATACAACTGTGTCACTTTATGCGCTCTCAGGCAAGCAAAATCATTAAAAATTAAAACAAAAATTCTTTGTTACTGTAAATATGCGCCGACTGTCTGGGACGAAGCCTGGCGCGGTCTATGCTTGCTATGCACATAGAGGCAACAAAAGTCAGGCTCCACCAAAATATATACAAATGCTCATGCATACACATATTTATATACATACACAAAGCAACTCACACATGCACTCACATATGAGTGCGCGCGCGTGTGTTTGTCCTTTTGAACCAACGAAATATACTCACGAGTATTCGCAGAAAAAAAAACCGAACTTTTACAACTGTCTGAGCGTGTATGCAAAGCAACTAGGCACATGCACACTTTGTACATTTTCACACACACACACATACTTAAATGCATGCACATATTGTGTGGCCACACATACACACACGTACACGTTGCGAAGCACCTTGAGTTGCTGGGCTCGTATGGCGACCGCATTGCTGTAACGGAGTGATAAAAATTTATTGCCCCAAATATGTTGATGCATGCGCACATTTTCCCATATTTATTGGGTAATTTCTATTTAAGTGGGTCATTATTCTGCCCTGGGCGCAAGCGCGGAGTAGGACACATTTTTACACAAAAAGTTTAAATCAATGTCGCTGACACAGATCGCAAGTTAAAAGGCCTTTAAGCAAGCCGGAATGTGTGGCAGAATAGAGAATAAATATTTAAATTATTTCCCTCATTTAAATTGCGCAGTAAATTGGCGCTAAAAGTAGAAGTGAATTAAAATTTAATTCGATTAAAAGAAGTTAATGTAACAACTCGCCTAAAAACTACAAAACTTCAAACTTTTATAGAAAAATTAAATTTTTTTTTCATTTTCCGCTGCGTCATTCAATTCTCATCTACATTGTATTGGCTTTTTTGCTCCTTGCCGTCGTGACAATCATTAATTTTTACTCAGTTCGCAAATTGAGTGGAATTAATTGACAAATCAAGTAAACAAAAATAAATTTGACAAATTCATTTCACACGAAACCTTTTTTTCTTTTCGACTTTGTGCAAATAAAGCGCTGTGTATGCCACTCATACGCTCGGGCGGTCGCTGTTGTATTGCGCGCAGTAACTTTCGTGATTTCTCATACAAGAGTTTGGTATAAATGATGGTGGCATCGCATGCAGATTTTGCGACTGTCAAAATCAATTTGTCGCAATAAATTCTAAGGTCACATGTGCTTTCACCACAAGTTAGTAGTAATGGCAGTCAATTGCAGTGAGTGACTAAAAATGGACGGAGAAGGCAACTGAGGGAAATGAGAATTAACGAATCGAGCGTCGAAAAAGCGCTTTGGTCGAAGCAATGAACTGTTTGTTTGTCTGTGCTTCATGCTTTGGGTTTATAATCTAATATTTAAAGCGTTGCAATGTGTGGTCGTTAAATCTACGATGGTACGATTTCAATACCGGAACAAAAAAATTTTAAAAATTATTTTTCATACAAATTTCTTTTTCCTTAAATTTCCCTTTTGTAAATCAAAATATTCTTCTGGCGTTTTTCGTCACTCACACACAAACCGCTTCAAAAAACTTAGAAATCCGTATCGACCTCATTAATTTAATTACCGTTGTGTACACCTCATTTCTATGCATTCCTACAAAACAGTAATAAATGCGAGATAAACGCAAAAGCTTGCTGGTTTCCGCATCCAACATTGAAAGCGCATTTTTACCAATCAAAAATCAACAACAACAACAAAGTATGTGCGCGGTCGGTGTGTCGAATGCCAGGTGAAGTGAAAAAAGTCAGCAAAGCATTGTGACGGCTGGTGGCAACGCTGTGGCATGCATCACACGTCCACATATACCTATATAAGCGTGCTAAAAACAGAAGCACAGCTCGAAAATCAAGCATAATAAATTCGTTGCGGGCCCAATGGCAATACAATACACACGCACATTTATGCGTGTATGTGTGCGAGTTTTTCGATGTCACATGCAAGTATTGCCGCATGATTGTGGCAGCAGCGTTGTGGCGCGTGGCAGAGATAACTGTTTGCGGTGCGAGGAATTGCGGTACATTGTTGTGATCGAGGAAAAATTATTTCGTTTGCCACGAAATTGAACGCATACAATGCGACAAACACGAAAGCGAAATATGCGCGTAGCATATCGCAAGGCGCACAGCGTTTTCATGCAAAGATTTGCTAATGCAAATATATACAGAAAATCTTGTTATTTTTATTGACGCAGGTGAAATGTGTTGCACAGCAATGAAAAATGTCGCGCAACTGGCAGAAATGTTGGACGAGAGCTTAAAATTTAATGATTAGTAGATGAAATTCTGCTCTACAAGTCCAGTTTTAAACAACTAACAAATAAATAAAAATTTAACATAAATCAATTTTAAATTTTTTTATTTCAGTCCTATCTAATTCCGCTTCATATTCATAGGCAAAAATTTGCTAAAAACTTTCCACTATTGTTGACTGGGTGCATCCACAGCTTGGCAGGTAGACCACAGTCGGCGCTTACTCATGGAAACACATACACACGCGCGGGCACTCATACTCTTTACGAGATTTATATCATGTGATATGCGTGCAAGATTTGTTACGCTTGTGGGAAATAATTTACGAAGCAACGAGGAAAGAACACTCAACACTGCCAACAATGCATGCGGAATATTGGAAAAGCAGATAAAAAGCGAATTTACAGTTACCACAATAATCTCACAATGCACACACATCGCTCACATGGAAAGTGGTGGCACTGTCGCAGAGCTGTTAAGATTTTAATAAACCTTCAACATTTGCAATAAACTTTTTTGCATTTTAATTCACTGGTGTCACATAATTTAGCGACGTACCGCGTTGCAGTCGTCACTGCTTTTTGTGTACATCTGCATGTGGATGTGGATGTGTGCGGTTGTCATTTGAGCGCGACGCAATCCCACTTTAATGCCACTGTGTGGCATGCAGTGTTTGTATGGATGTGTGTGTATGTGTGTATATGTGTACATTTATAGAAATGTTTTCCCACCTAATGACATCCATCGTTTAACAAAACGATTTCAATTAAATATGCAGCAGCGGCTCTTAGTGGCTCCTATAAGTATGCAATGCGTTTGCTGCTTTCGCTCGCATTGCCCATATTCATTTGCTGAAATATTGCTTTTAAACGTTGCTCTTAATAAACCGCCCATATAGTATTTAAAAACTTTAAGTGTTTAAATAAAATAGTATGTATATATTATACATAAACCCTTCAGGAAATTCAAGCTGCTTATTTGTTCGAAATTTGAAATTTTTTTTCGAATTGTGAAACTTTTTTCTACCATAACGATTTGGTTAATTATTATGGTTTGAGAGGCACTGCTTTTTTTCCAAAAATGTGTAAAAGTAGCAAAGAAAGTAGAGGAGTTTTGTTTTAGAATAAACATATGTACCAATATTCTCTAGCATACTGTTAATACAGTAAGTAAATCAAATATGTATGCCAACCAGGCTGAAAAACTCGTGTAGCAATTAGCTTTTGGCGGAATTCGATTTTATAATTCAACGAATCACCCTTTATAAGATATTGAGGGATTATATTAACTTGCAGGTTAGAAAAAACTTTTTTTCGTGAATTGTTTTCAAAGAGGCATATTATTTAATAAAAAGATAGAAACAATCGTCGACTCATTTTGAATTCTCTTGACTCCGTACCCGATTTCTTGGAGGATCTGCGAAAAAAAAAAGATTTACCTACTATAACTGAAGACAGGTAATGATGGAAGCATAGTTAATAATTTTGTTTTTAATAAAATTGCAGCTTCTCAAAAAAAAAAAAAAACGTTTTTGTGAAAAAAATTACAATATTATCAAAAAGCTTATTCCTTAGATTATTATCGCAAAAATATATCTATGAAAGTTGTAAGAAATTTTCAGGTCGTTCGGTTCAGTCGTTTCGAAGGAATTTTTCCAACCATCTTTGAAAACCGCGTTTCGAGAAAAGCGCGCTTAAAGTTCACACTCGTTCGCTCTAAATATTCCACGACGATATGTCCAACGCATTGAATTGATATCTAGCTCGAAGGCTCAATCATTTTATGAATTTGGTATAAAGTGTTGTTGAATTTCCAAATAACAAAAACATATTTCGGTGCGGGTTCCCCAGAGGGCAGCTAAACTATTATATATATTTATATAGGAAATAAGTATGCGGTAGATATGCGCAAAGCCTCACAAACACTCCGGCAGGCATTTGGTGAATGTGCCACAATGCCGCGTTTCCTCATTTGCATGCGATGTTTTCCTGTCATTGACTGCTTACGCGCTGCGCAACGCGAAAATGCCGCCAATGTGCTGAAAATATGTTCGCGGCAAATTGAGAACTGATTTTTTTTCACACCAACAACAACAATTAATTTTCAACACGACGCAAATTGCTTTCAGTGCGTAAGACCGAAATAAAGTTGCGCGCGCCAGAAAAGCGTAAAATAAATTACAATTAAGGCGTTTACTAATGAGGAAGGTTAATTAAAATATATATTTTTAAATAAGTTTTTGTTTCAGTTTAATTAAAATGGCGGTGTGAGCGTAGATTATCTATATATCGATTGGGGTTTCGGAAATTTAAATTTGTAGGACTCTTTTGAGCTTTCATGAGTTTTTAAGGCTGAAATATAACCGATTTTTTGACGCAACAATAACTAAACTAAAATTTTAATTTGTTAGTTGCTTGGGTTGGAAAAAAGAAACTGCAACCCCAGCCTGACTAAGGCGTATGAAAAAATGCGGTTCCTTCCACCGGTCAATTTAATTGCTAAAGAATAAGCATGCATTTCACACTACAAGCCACAACGCATGCCTTGCATTTTGCGCTCTCCATTTTTTGTACAGTTAAAGTTGCCATATTCCACATTACTGACCCACTTATGGAAATCAACATCAAAGAAATTGTAGAATCCTTCAACAACTTGCCACTGCAAGTTTCATTGAAACTTACGATCTTCTCGTCACTCATGCACACATACAAACACACACGCATAGTGTGTTTGTAGCGTAAAAGTGTCCGCTGCGCACAGCATTTCTTTCATCCTCTTAACCCATTTCAATAAGCAACAACAACTTTTATGTTATAAAAGCAATACCTGAGTGATTATCACAACAGCACTTTTGCACACAGTCGTTGCGCCTACTACTCGCATGTGTGTGTGCTGTGTGCTGTTTGTGACGCCTTTCAGCGCACCAAAGCTTTGAGTGTAATCACTTAGTGTGTTGTTGTTATTGCGATATAAAAAACTTTATAAAACCCATAGTGGCAATAAGTTTATATTTTTGTTGCATGTTAGCGAATAAGTATGTGTATAGTATATGTATGTATGGGTGAATAACTAAAAACAGTTGACCGATTTTATTTTCACTTTGTTCAGAAAAAAAAAAAAAGTTTTGTAAACAAAACTGCAAATATAATATAAGTCATGTGAACGCTTATAACAGTTTATGACGACATACACATATATATATATTAGGGTGACGGGAAAAAAAAAACTTTTTTTTGTGCTTAGATTGAAAGTAAAATGTTTAGATTAAAAAAAAAAATTTTGGAAAAAAAATTTTGGAAAAATTTTTTTTTAAATTAGTGACGGTCCACTCAGGTTTATGGTAAGTTTTGAGTTAACATTTGTTTTTGGTTTAAACTCTTCACATTTATATAAAAATTACCGAGTTTGATGGTTTTTGACTCAAAATTTATTTTAACGCTTAAGGAAAGCATGTGTTCGTTTAAGACCTTTTTTTTTAAAACTTCAATAATGACCACAAAAAGTTTTTTAAGTTGATATCTTTTGACTGCACAGAAAGAGGACTCTCCACAGCTTCTAGAATACTTATCAAAAAATTTTTACGAATTAAAAATTTTAACTCGAATTTTACTTTAAAAGTGAGTTTTTGCAAAGATTTTTTTTTCTTATAATCTACAAGTTTTGCCCTCAGGCTAAGTAAAAAAAAAAAAAATTCGCTCCACCCTAATGTATATAAACCAAGTGAGTTCAGAACGACTTCGAACCAGTATGATAACACTATTAGCGTATGTATTTTCTCTATCTATAAGCAACTGTCAAGAGAATTGATAAGATCTTGATTCAACCTTAATTCAAAAACGTCGTCAGTATATTGCACCAAATACAAATGCTTTCCCAAGTCACACAAGCTTATGTGTTCCTATAACTAAAAATAATCTTCGTGATTCGGAACTTTGCTGAGCCTAAACTTTTTGCTCAAGGCGTGTGATAGACTAAACGTGCGAATTTTGTGGAAAAAATAATAATCTCTCAATTGTTAAAAAATGTTAAGAATATATTTCAACATATTTTAAAAATACAAAGTAAAATTTTGAGAATTTTTGTTCGGATCGCTTGTTTCCCATTGAAATGTGAAAAAATCGATCAACTGCTACTTCAGTCCAAAGGAACATTGCAAGTGTTACTAGTTCCATTATACCTTGTTGTAGAATTTCCTGCAGGGCAACACAACACACATGTATGTATAGATTTTACCTTTGCCTGTGTTACGCCGTTGACATGCGTGCAAAATACAAACGTCTAACCGTTTTATGAATTTTCATAGAAGCCGCCGCTGCGGCGACAATTCTGCAGAGCGTGAGCGTGTGACAATTTTTTCCAACTGCGATCGAGTTCATTGAAAAGTGAAAACCGCAGCGAAATCAACGCCATGACACAAACGATGCGACCCTCGGGGGGATATTAAAAGTATCAAAAGTGTGCAAAATACACGGCACATAGAAGTGGAGGAGAGTTAAAAGCAGGCAAAAAAAGAACTTAAACAAATGTTGTCAAAGAGAGAAGAATGAACGAATTGATTTTCACTTACACACGTACACACCCACACTGAGCAGGTGTTAAGCTGGCTTAGTGGCATGTACACCCCCAACCAAATATCTTGGACACGCTACATGAAGTGCTACATAAATTTCAGCGAAGTGCAAATACTTGCGTTTCCACATAAAGTTGCGAGACTTTCTGCTCAATTCAGCGCCACAGAAGTGTGCATTGCTGAAATAATATTTCTTCTTAAGTTTTTTGTTGCCATGGCAACCTTCGCCGCAAGCGCCTTAGCTGCGGTTGCTTGAGTGGCGTGCAAGTGGATGGAATTTGCTGGCGAAAGTGTTTAGAGCGCACGCAGGTGGAGGCGGGTAGAGCTCGGATTTTATGCTAATGCTGTGTAAATGTGTTTTTCTTAGAAGTTTTATTATTTGCGTGGAAAATAACATCTTAAATGTGCACAGCACAATGTGAGGCGAGCCAAATAACACTGTGCACAAATAAATTGAGCTAAATAAATCCGACTACCCAAACGAAAGTTGGTCAGGGGATTTGAACTATTTTCTCAGGAATATACAAATACAAGCTTTTTAGAGACTCGAGCTAAGGCTTTTCGAGAAAGCGTTTTATAAAGTCTAACACAGATTGATTCTATGCAAGCTTTGTTAAATAGAAACCTTAGACAAAGCTCGGCTCGAAAGCGATTGGAAAAATTGAATTGAAACTGAAAATCGAATTGAATTTAGATTAATTTTTAAATAAGTGAGGAAATAAAGGTTTAAAAAAGCAAAAATTACAGCTTGTTTCGTACATTAAACGATTAGTTCTCCAAATTTCGTGACGGAAGAAAAAGTTTGTAAAAGACAAATATAAAAACCACAAACTTAGTTATTCGATTTTTTTCACATACATTTGTAGGTTATGTGAAAAAAAGTTAACACGAAATAATGAGATATTTTTATTACCTGCAATTTTCTCATCACACTTTTTGCAATAGGACTCGTAGTTTTGCCAATCTAGGTAAACCATTTTTTGCCCTTCAAAATTCAGCCACTTTCTCTTCCCCAACACAGATAGCCTGAAAATGCTTTGCTTCTTATTTTTGTTACTTTATTTTCCTTTGCGATGGTTTTAGTTTTACTATGATTTTTTTGCATTCAAAAATTATCGATGCTGGTCTAAATCTCTTTAAATTCGATCCGATAGTCTTTTGTGCAGATTCTAAAAACTATATTTTCAAGTTCATATTCCGAGTTGTAGAAACTGCAGAGCATGTTTTTCTAGTACCAATTTCTGTTACAAACGGAAATCACAACCTGTTGAGTCCACCCCATATACTATAATCAACCCTTGAGTTTATCCTTTTACAGTGGTTCGTGCACCGGATAACCCCAAACTAAAAAAAATCCACAGTTTTTTTTTTTGATTTAAAAAATTTTTATTTAACAGAAAGATAATTATAAATAATTATATTATAGTTTAAAGGCACTAGCCTTCGTTGGCTATCGGCCTCATTTAAAAATTATTTGTTCGATTTGACTCTTTGCTTAAAACCAATACCTTTTAAAAGTAAGACTAGTCAAAACAATATGTTAATTAATAGTATATTGGAATATAAATCGTGCATGTGTGTTAGTACAATAACTGTATATGTTTTCAAACTCACACACATTCATCCATATAGCTGACAATTTTGTTTTCTAATCAGTTCATGAATGTGCTGTGTTAATCCGCAAATTAAATGAGCGCTCAATTTACATGTGACCTCAAAGGAGTACTCTATATGTAATGACGCGAGAACCGATTGTCTAAACTTAATGCAAATACTCGACAAACACAAGCACATATTCACAAACCACATCACTAGAGCACACACACACACATATATGTATATGCAAATGAACAGTTAATATTACAGTTGTTTTAGAACTAGATATACACCACACTTTGTGAATTTGCCATTGACTTTAGTTACTGTTATACAGTCTATAATGTGTATGAAGTGCTCATTGATAACTGTTATTGTTATTATTCGCTGTTATCTTTGCAGAGCTCAAAGCCAACATAATCGGGCCAACGGATTTGTATGTGAAAAGTGGCAGCGATATAAATCTAACGTGCCGCATCATGCAGGGACCGCACGAGTTGGGCAACATTTTCTGGTACAAAGGTGCGTATACGCAACGTCTATTTACACACATACACATACGCGCATACACATATACAAATACACTCACAAGCCTATTGATGTGCATATATCTTCTAGAAGTGAAAACCATAGTTTATGTACGCGTGCGCTTTACAATTGTTTTCGTTTTCGCTTGTTGTTGTTGTTTTGTTGTTCGCTTTTAGCCGCAAATTAATTAAAAAGTGTTTTTCGTTTTATTGGCGTTGTCATTTGTTGTTGTTGTGCTGTTGCCGCTGCCCGTATGACGTGTGGCACCAACTGACGCGAGCCTCGACAAGCGCACTAATTGTGTTAAGCAGCAACAACAAAAACAGAGCCGACAAAAATATAGCATAACAACAACAACGACATTTGGACAGGGCGTGTCACTTTTTCGCTTTAACACTTCACATTTCAATCTTATTTCGCTCACAACGACAGCGATGGGCATAAGCAATAACAACACCGCCAAGTCCAGCAACAACAACAGCGTTAGCACTAACAACTGCCCATACTTCAGTGGCACTGAACAACAACAAGTACTGTGGGTGTCACAGCAGCGGCTTGTCAGTGTCGTCAACGGCTGAATAATTTAAAGCCAATAACAGTAACAACCATAACAACAAAAACAACAACAACATTGGTGTAGTTACTGTTGCTAGCAACGCAATCGTAAATGACTTTACTCAATTATGTTGCAAATACGCCAACACATAATTGATGTGACAATTAAAGGCGCATAATTGTGGACAATACCAATGCACACGCACAAAAGTACACACACACACATGTATATACAGGGTTTTACAATAAGAGTGATATGATTTAAAAAAAACACACTAATTGTTAAAGAAATTAAAATGTTTTTTATTTAACGTGAAGTACAATTGATTCAATTTAACGTTCAATATTGTCTTCTAAAGCTTGAAGAGAGTTTGGTTTATTGCTGAAGTCCATGGACTTCAAATCAGCCTACAGAAAGTAGTCTAATGGTGTTAAATCACAACTTCTTGGAGGCCATTCAATGTCATTACAACTTCAGCATGAAAAAATAAATTACAGTTCATTACATACAAGTATTAGAAATGACCGAAACGACATATAGATAGAAATCATATTATCCCTATTGGAAAATCCGTTATATGTGCTGACCAACACTCAGTCGTTTTTGTTACATCTTTGCTATAACTGTGTCGAACATTTTGCATTTGCTCAGGTGCTGTTGTAAATATTGTATTACTTTTTTACTGGATTCGCTCAAAGTTTTCAATTAAATTTTTCAGGCACCGAAATCATCGATATGTCAGCGAATCTAAATGAGATCGACAGCGCGACGCGGATTAGTGTCGACAACGATTGGACAGATGGATTGACATCAAGGTGAGCCAAACGTTAATTCACACAATTTTTTATTTTAAATACTCGTATAGTTTATTTATGGTGGATAAATTAATTCACTACAATTCTAGTGATAGAATCTCCAAAAGTGGTTGTTGTGCATAATCGTATAATGTTTAGTTTTTTAGCTTCTCTATTGTCAGGTTGCTATTCATTGGCTGATAAGGAAACAAATTATATGTCATCAAACCCCTGCAGCATATAGCTGGCAAACAAACTGAACGATCAAATAAAGTTAAGGGTTTTTCCTTGTTTTGATCCTGCTTCCTTTGTAGGTCACAATAGAGCCAAGTACGTTACGCATACTTCTTTTTATTTCTTCTTATTATATCAGTAGTTTAATTTTTCTTGTTCAAAGCTAAAATCTATTAAAAAAACAAAGTTCTTCTGCGCTTAAGCGATTTTATTGTGTCCGATTTCCACATATTTCTGCCTCAAATAATGGTATTCTCTATTGAGCATATAAACAGCTTACACTTAAGCGGGGACTCCTGCGCGCAGCTTAGCTCTTCAACTATACAATTATATTTATGAATAATACCAAATGAGCTTTGTAACATATTTAGCTGAACCGTTCTCTTTTTTCTCTTTTAGATTGAAAATTCGCCGTGCCATGCCCTCTGACACCGGCAATTATACGTGCGTGCCAACGATAGCGAAGTCATCCTCGGTGTATGTGCACGTCATAATAGGTAAGTACATAGCTAAGTAAGTTCATTGCTTTACTATTTTATACTAATATTTGACGAGTATTTATGTTGATCATGGAGTGTGAAGGAGCTGACTTACGAAGAAAGAAATCCAAGCAAACAACAAAACAAGCGAAAAATACGTCTCTGCTTAGAAAGAAGGTTTTAGATGTGATAGTTTTCTCAAATTGAAACCTTTTGGGTAGCTTAAAATGCTTTTGCTCACTAAAGAATTCACCATAAGTTCTTTGGGTAGTTCTTTTATTATGCTCTTCTTTTTGTGTGTCAATTTCACTGACAATTGTAGTCGAAAAAGTGCAGTAAATTAATTGTTTCAGCAATCTATTCCAGCAAATAACAACCGTGTGAGAGAATTAAATTCGTGCTTAGCAATCACAATTGAAATTGACTGCTTATTAACCGTTTAACAATCTTCATCGAAGCGAAGAAAGCTGTTTTTGTCGATTTGACGTCATTAAATTTAACATAATGCAATCCTCGCATGTGCTGTGAATATATAATTCTCAGTAGATGAAAATCTGATTTTAAATACTAATTTCGCACAAATTTTTTTTTTAGAATATATGTGCACGCTATGAAGGTTGCCTGGTTTCGAAGGTTTTAAAAAAATATTATTTATAATATTTCGTCGCCAGCATCACATATCGAATATATTTATAATGAAATTATTAAATCTAGGTACATGTGTGCACCAAGTACGAACTCAAACAAAGCATGCCGTGCATTATTCTACACGTGTGTTTTTTTATTGTTTTTGTTTACAAATAGTTATGTGCTTATCACGAATCCTGCGGATTTATAAGCATATTGTTCAGCTCGATGCTTAGCAATCTATAAATAAAGCACAGTTTAGTGTGCTTCTCTTCCTATTCAACGCATAAATGAGCGTTCCTACTTAGATAAGCGAATGCTTTTATGCATGAGCTTTTGCTCTTTTATAACGAATAAGCTTTGATAGCAGGTGACAACAACAGCAACAACAATAGTGAACTATTTCCAGTCCTATTCGGCGCATGTTTGTTTCAACTCTGAAATGATAGCAACAACAACAACAGCTAGCCAGTTGATGAGCAGCTTTACGATACGAAACGATCGTAAAGAATAACAGTATTATTGCAATGGTCGTTGCGACTGCCATAGTGAGCGGTGAATATATGAGCTTCTTGAGATATCGCTGCCGCCACCTTTGTCAGTAACCGCAATCGCATTCTGCTTATTAGCGCGCTAACAACACCGTTATTTGCATTTTTCAAACTTTATATATATGTGTGTGCATTTATGCGCGTGAGTAGTTGAAATGCATTTTTGCCAACTCGTAAAATTTCGTTCACTGCTGAGCATTGCGGTTCGAGTATAATGAGCAGTTGGGTCAAATTACCCGCTAGAAGAACGGATGTAAGGCAGTTTAAATCGTTAGTGCACACATATACAACTCCACATGAGTACATATATATATGTAGTTATGCATGTGTCGCTCTCTTCATTAGCAGATGGCACAATGGCACACTTTGAAGGCGTCACACCCGCCTCTCTTAAAATGCTCGTTTTTACGGTTGGCGCTAAGTTGAAAGATATACCTTTGCCGCCACAAATTGGCATGCAATAAAATTTTAAAATAATAAAAAATTCACGAAACCGTCATTTGCCTCGCATGAGACCTGAAACACAACAGCAAGTGTAAGTAGATTGATGCATAAAGTTAGCAACTTTCATATTAACATCCGCATAGTATTTAGTTTCTGACGCGAATGTATTCTGGTCTGCTCTAAATTTGCTGCTAGACTCACCGCTCTACTTTCGGAAAGCAGACTAAAACGAGGCAATGCAAATACCTAGTATATTCCATCTACATAAAGAGTTGTATTTTTGCTAACTTCCAGCCGCTGAGTGAATAAGTGCTCCTCGTGTGTGTGTAAGGTTCTTTACGGGTCGTTTATGCAAATTACACGGCGTAGACCAACTTCACTGTCTATGTGTTTGCTTTTGTTTTAGTACCTCTTTGTGGCAACAGTCTTTCCAAGAAGCCGTCAAATGTTCGCTGCTTTCATACGAGAGCACAAGTTTTCCCTTTGATTCACCAACCTCCTCTGCGGCATTAGTGCCTATTTATTAGTGGCACAATTTGGCCGTCTGGCGGCATTAGTCATAAACTGATTTTATTATTATGCTGAGTACAAGCACAATAACAATTTTAGTGAGTTTCAGAGTTTTATTTTCTACGAACTGACTTGCCTAGTCCATATTTAAATCAGCCTGAAAGGTAGTCTATAAAAGACACAGAAGCATTCGGAGCTTATTCACGAAACCGAAATGGAATGATGCCCCAAAGTAAAAATGCACTTAAATACAAAAGTATTTCACTGTAATTTGACAATAAAAAGTTATAATGCCGACATTTGCAATGAATATGTTTTAACTTTGATAGTAAAATTCTCGTAATTTGATGACAAATCGTTCAACGATGTGCTAATCGGTTTGATCGTGGAAATTTCATGTTTATAGTCATTCAAATACATAATCGTAAAGACTACAGATTGAAGTAAAATAAGAAATAAATTTAATTGCGATTTTCTAGCATAGAACACATGCGTATGTGTGTGTGTGAAATGTGCTGTAAAAGCTTAAAATGCAGTAAAAGTATTTACACATATGTATAATAGGTTTCCGATATATAACGATTTTTTTTTCATTGAGTTATAAAATTCAGGCGAAAGAAAATGTGTCTTAATCAAATTTCAACTGTTAATATCTTTTAAACGGTTAGGTTTACGAAAAAAAATGTTCAAGTAGTTGGAAGCGAGATTTGGATTTTTTCTCTCTGATAATAAGAAAAAATAGATAACTGTAAAGCATAGAACGTTGTCTTTAGAACTAAGAGCTCATACTTGCAGATACTTTCTTTGAAGTGTCTAAGAACCTATGTTTTAGAATAACAAGCAACCCAATATACATTAAGTGACCCAACTTAATGTATAAGCCTATCGAAAGTCCTGGCCAGTTTAAAATTTTTTCTTTTAAATAAATAACAATATACAATACTCTTTACAGCTAAAACAAAAGTAAAATAATTAAGAAAGCAGTCTGGTAGCTTAGTTTAGAAAAATTTACTTTTTTCAAAAGCACGATATATTAAGAATACACTATAAAAATTTTAAAATGAAAATTGAAAATTTGGCGAAATTATAGCACTTATACTTGCGTCTCTTAGCTTATCCTTTTAAAATTGCCAGAATGAGTCCCAGATCATAAAAAGTGACTTACAATAAGCCCTATGAAAAAGTTGTAGGTTTATTATATGCACCAGGAATAGACGACTGATATGTAGCATGATTTGTCTATAATAATAAATATAATTCTATGAAACATATTTAATCTGTTGTTGAAACTTTATACGCGTTTTTCTAGAAACAATGGTTTTACGGTCGGACCGGATGATAAACAAATTTCTATCCAACCGATTGGGCTCAAATTTGAATATATTATTCTACTCAACAATAGCTCTCGCAAGAGCTAGGATTTTGTTTTATCGCTAAATTTCTATTTTACCGATTTTTAATTTAAAAAAATATTATCTTTTTTTTCGATGTCAATCATATGTTTATTTTTCGACGAAATTATTTAAGCAATCCATTCAACCAGAATGATAAGCTCACAGAAAAACTTAATACCCAGTATACTGTAGTCGAGAATTCAGTTGATTGTAATCACTTCACTTTCATTTACCCTTTCTTCAGGAGCATATTTCTTGCACATTTCAGACAACACAGTTCTTTTCTACATAACATAGCATATCGTAAAATTTTATAATTACTCGCTAAATTCCTTGTCTTGAGTTCAAAAGGAATACCAATAATTTAACTCACTCTTATATCACTCCTTATATTACTCAGTGAACTTCCTTTTGTTCATTTTGGAGGCTGGACAAAGTCGCAAAGGCCTGTTGAAAATGGGCCTAGAGAGCAGTTTTGCTGGCTTTTCCTTAGCATGACTGTGATGTGCTTCAAACCAAAAATATCAGCAGACATGTTTGGACTGTCTAACAGACAGTGCGAGCCTCTGCTAACTCTTATACCAAATCTTAAAAGGACTGACAACAAAAAAAAATACTTTCAGGTGTTTTAAAACAAATCTTTATTATCGCCCTCAAAATATGCTACTTTTGCGCCAATAAACAAAATTAAATTTTTTTGTTTCAAGAAGCTTTTAAACTGTTTCTTACAAATTTGACGTCGGTATTTTTGGCTAAATATGTAATATGTTTATGTGTCTAAAACTAGAGCTGCTAGAGAAAAACTGACTACAGATTGGGAATCAGCGTGGCAAAGTATATCAAAATCGGTTAAAAAACTTCATAAAACAAAACTGCTATTTTTCAGTGCTACTAGACATCATCAGGAATGATGCGTTTGATAAATGTAAGGTCTTCAGCTACGTTGTCAAGCATTACTTTTTCGACCTCTACTCGACGTTTGCAAAAGATTCAGGTCTTATGATATGAGCCTAGGCACTGACACGCTTTATACCCAATACTTTAACCAAAATGTGATCTATAAGAGATGTTGCGCTGCTCTGCTATCTCTCTGATGCCAACACAACGTTTTCCAAGCGCTGTTTTCTTAACTTTTTCAATATTATCGTCATAACAGAGCTGGATAGACGTCACGCATGAGGCAAGCTTTCGATGACTTTACGAGCTTCACGGATTGCTTTGATTTAAAATAGCGTAAGTCGATCGTTTACGATGTAGTTACAATTATGCCGTGTGGTGGAACTTAAACAGACCCCAAGAGTACCCGCACTACTAATAATCAGCCCTCACCTATGACATATCGCTTAAGCCACACGCAGATCAGCAATTCTTAAACTTTTAATGTACTTTCGATTAAATGCGCCAGAGATCAATAATCAGGTGTAAAATTAGTTTTATTATTTTAAACCAAACGGAAGTGTACAGATCTAGGCGAGGCAGTTAACACCGCATGTTGCAGCAGCAAAACTTTGATTCGCCATGTAGCTTTGAGTTGTTGCAATTTCCTTTCTTTTGACTTATTTAAAACCTGCCCTCTGCTACCTCCCTCAGCTATTCAGCACTTTTATGAGAAACTATTGCATATAAATGCTTTCAAATTGTTGCTTTTCTTATTATTTTTCCATTTTGGGGTTAAAAGAGTCCGCATACATACGAGCAGTCGCACAAAGGCTGATGACTGTGTATACAGGAAGTGCCTCGAGCGGCAAAAAATAATTAACTACACACCAATATTTATACAACACATACAATAAACCACTTACACAGCGCTGTTTTATACATATATATCATATATATATATGTGTGTGTAGGAGCATGTGCGTCCATGTGCTAAGCAGATATTCACGTGGCTTTGTGTGACAGCTTACAACTTGCTTTCTATGCGAGTGTTTCTATGTGGGCAAGTACGTTCTAGCGGTGGTGTTGCTGCACACAGACTGAAATTGAGGCGCCTCTGGCGATAAATAAACTTGTGCCAAATGGTTTCTTTTATGCAACAACTACTACACTATTTTCTACAGCCACTCTTTTTGTGCAATTTTGTTGCAGTTTTTGTTGCATTTCTTACATTTTTTGCATTGGGTAAATGTTTGCTTTCATTCTGAGTGCACACCAAGAAAGACGCTTTTCTTCGCGCAAAGCAGAAGAAGAAAACCAAATAAATAAATAAGTGCAAATGCTGATGCGAAGCTGTGCGGGGCTGTGTGGGGCTTTGCATTGAATTGAGAGGAAATGCATTGCGCATTGCAAACAAAAGCAAATGGCGAAGCCGCTTTAACGGTCGATTACCCGAAACAACAGCAACAAAATGGCGCAGTCATACAATCGCGTCACGCGACACTGCAGCAGGACGCTGGGCAATCTTGATACTCGCGAAGCGTTGCAGTCATTTGACAGGCCACTTAAAATGTGCGCTGTGCGCGGCAATTCGTCACAATGGAATGTGGAGTGTGCTGCAAGCAGCGCAGAAAATAATGTGTTGCATTGCAAAACTTCTCTACATTTGCGTTCTGTTCGTGTTTCATGTTTGGCCTAAGGCGGCAAACAAAAAAAAAAAGTTAAAAAGGTTGTGTCAATACTTCCAGGTCGCACTTGTCCGTGCTGCCGCTTGCCGCCAGCCAGCAGACTCATTAGAAAGTCTTTGCAGCTCCGAGTCGCTTCGCGTCCAATTGCTTACTGCTTGATGCCTGCCGCATGACTTTCGCACAAACGCAGCGTTGCATATCCGCCACTTTTCCACTCACGTACTCACTGGGGCAATGCACAATTTTTCCTAGTGCCTATGCTTCATTCAGTTATTCCACTTGGGGCACTGCTAGTTAGACAGGCTATTCGTTCGCTGGTCAGCGTTTGAAACTGCGAACTATTAGTGTTCTTTGTAAGTATGTGAGTTGCTGTTTCGCCTTTAGCGATTTCGTGTCGCAGGTGACGTCTCCTCCTCAGTGATGCTTTTCGTCTTTTTGCTGTGTGTCTAACATTTCCGTTGTTGCAACACTGTTTGGGGGCAATCCCACTGTTGCAGCAAGGATGTTCATTTAGTAATCAAGCTGTTGTCGTTTGTCATGTTAGTACGTAGTGTGTTGGCAGAGAGCGCTGCTGTCAATTGGCTTTCGGCCATTCACTCACTTCAGCTACTTCACTTCGTTTTAGTTCGTACATATATTTGCTCGTGCGCTTCCAGGTAGGATTTTATTTTCATTTTTGATTCTGTTTCAAGTGCCATTGTTATACAGTTTCTTATATGGTGCACAGAGAGTGACCATGCCGTCTGCTATTTTGTAAGCATTTATATGACATTTACACTGCTGTTGGTTATGTGAATACCCTGTAGGAAAAACGTACGTCACTGCTAAAGCCAAACTTCGTAAACCTTTCGTAATAACTTCTCATCATCAAATCTTTAATATGAAATGTTTTAGTTGTGAAGCATAGTCACCAAATTTTTTAAAGTGCGGTACTTCGCTATTTCAACGGGGAGCCAAAACCTCCAACAAACCAATCTTCACATCCATTTTGGTCACCAAAGCGTACTTTGATGAAGAAATTATGTCCTCCTTATTTCACATAGATAACTCCAAGGGAAAGGGGTCAGTTTAAATTTATTAAGTGAGTTTTGGTTATCAAATTTTATCTAAAAATAGGTGATGTCACGCCTATCTGGCCTACCTTTTCATTTGTGTTTTAAATTATATATGTTTTGTGGAACTCTTTGGATAATGATCGCGTTTTTAGTAGTTTCGAGCATAGTCAAATATCAATTCATCCAGACATCTAGAGCATTTTGATATATATAACTCTTGTGTGCATATGCTAGAGTGTAAAAATTTTCTGCAAGGTGCAGAACCCTTCTATTTCCCTACACGCTGACATTTAAGCACTTGTAATCTGCCGCAATATATCCGTAGCACTGAATTGGTGCGCGTCTTGGCTTATTAGCTTTCGAAATGCTTTCAGGCTGGAATACACGCGTACGTACATAAGTAAGTAGCTTTACATATGTTGCCATATGGAGGTTTACGTATCCTTCGTGAAGGCTACGCGGTCCGCACATTGTGTAATGTAATCTAAAGTTAAATGTGCCTTAGGCGCATCTCATTTATACTCCATGCAATTGCTTAGCTTCCACTCACAACATATCTTTTCCCTCTTTTTTACTCTTACATTGAACGGCTTACGATTCTCGCCTTGTCTCATTTGTTTCACTTGAGTCATCTTAATTATTATTCGTAAGACCTCGAGCAGCAACAGAAATTGTCAATAAGAATTATTTAAATTAATTTAAATGAAAATATAGGTTGGTGCACGAGCACCAGGAAACTGCAATGCTGATGAGCTTTCTGCATCAGGTACTTCAACCGGGGGAGCTCGGCAGGTCCGATACGAGCAGCTGTGCGAACCGAAGTTCTTCTGGGTCAGGGTAGGTCGTAAAGGGTTTAGTGAGCTACTCATCTTCAGCAAAGTTCTCCTCTCAATAATTTTAGGTGTGCTAACTGAACACAGCCCAAACTGTCTTCTTGTAAGATTAAACAATTAAGCGGATGCCAGTAGCATAAGCTGTTTGTGAGCGGTTAAGATAGAATTTCTTTCTACTCGAATGTCCCGGCTTTGCCAGATCAAAGCTAAAATACCTCGGATCTCACAATTTTAGACATTTTTGTGCTTATGATCATATACTTAGCTTCTATTGTTTGTTGTTCTATTGTACATATATTTAGAATAAGTCTAAACTGTCTAAAAAATCTCACGATATTCTTCATTAAAATCTAGGAGAGGAATAGCTTATTTTGTCAGCGAAAAACAAAATTACTGAAAACACAAAGGTAGAAGCAACACTCATCATTGGAGTGTTAAAACTCGAAGTCGAGCTTTCACTATCATCAATTGCTGCAACATAGTGTGGTTAACGGAAGTACGATGCCAAAATAAAAAGGCGATTCAATACACGCACAAAATCCTACAAACTGGACGCTAAATAAGAAACTTTTTTATTTTTGAAATAAAGTTACTTGCAACTGCAGCAAATTCTAATGCCACTACGCATTACGTGCGCTGCAACATTTTACAAAAGCGAATAAGAGGAAGTCACCAGGTGGAAAGAGAAGGGCGGTTGAACTAAAAAATAGAAAAAGCCATTTATGTTATCGGCCACTTCCAGTTGGTTTGGTAGCCCTGCCAAGGATGCAGGTGAATGGCGCCAGCAGTTCTACGCAGCCAAACTATACGAAAATTCACAAACACACATACACCCACATATACTACATAAGTATCGGCTTAGTAAGTGTGTGTGTCTGGCCTGCAGCAGTTAGCATTTCCTAACTTCGCCTCTTACTCTTCGCCACTACTCAGTGTGGTCGTTTTTCAACTTTCTTGAATAGTTCATGCTTTGCCTTTTCAACTGGCGCAGCACCGTTACTTTATAGACTTTCGCATTGTATCCGCTTCGTGATGTTTGTGTTTACTGTTACCTACTCCATGTAAACAACATAAATACACAATGTATTTTAATTGTGGAATAGGAGCGAACGGAATGAACGGAACGAAAGACCCCGTTGGGGAATCTTAACACTGGCCCTTTTGCAGCAATACTTAAGAGAATAAATAAGAAAATGGTGATAGGGTTGTCCGGAATGCACCCATAGCACGGACAGTTGTTTTATTTATAAAATAAAAATAGTTGCTCGACTGGTTGTTTCGCACAACATATTCTAGTTTTTTGTGAGTCTTGGATCTTAGAAGTTTTAATTCAACGCTCAAGCTTATGGGTCAAATAGCTCAGAAATACATTTATTATAAAAAATTTAACAAAAATGTAACTTCAGCAGAATTCTGGGCTACCGAACACGGTTAAGCCTTTCGAGGGCAAGCGGAATAAGCCAACGTAATTATTAACTAAGCTTAAAGCTGAAAATAAGCTTAAAGGAAGCTTTGGAGTTTATTTAGTTCGAGATTTTCACGGTTAGGCTACTCACAATACGGGGTATTATTGTCCATGCCGAGGACTGGTCTTTATCTGGATGCTGGTAGATCCTCGAAGCTTACTTTAATGCTTACTCAAAAAATCTGTAGCTTGAGCGACTTTAAAACGGCTTCAAGCGCAATCGGCATTAGTGGACCTTCAACAATACTCGGTGTGAATACTGCCGCACGAAAGCATGCACACTCACCGTTATACTCATTCACGCATTTATTTCTTCATTTGTTAAGTACTTCAATACTTATAGTTTATGGCGTACACACGCTCAATTATTCACGACCACAGAGTTGCTACGTAATTTTCTTATTCGAATCTTTCCTCTTTGCAGGTGAGCACCCTGCCGCCATGCAACACAACTCGAGCAGCATGTACAGCGGCAATTTCTACTGTAGCATTTGTTGCATGCTCTTCACAATTTTCACTTGTTGTTTGCAACACTTCCTCGCAACAACAACAGCGGCTGCAACACTACTCACTGTGACAACTAAAGGCACCAGCAAATGCAGCAGAAGTAACAAAAACAATAATAACGATGACGGCGGAAGCGAGTGCAAAACTCCAACGTCAGCTGCACAGAGCACGGCACTAGCCACCGACGACTACAGGTGCGTGAGTATAAGGAGTTGCAACAATCGCCACTACCAAAGACACAGCCGTAGCCGCAGCCCGAGGCGCATTAGCATTAGTGGCGCAACCGCAAGAAGTTCGCATGCAACACGCGCACTCAGCGAAATTACGAGATGAAGATGAAGCTGTGACCGAGCACAAACAATTATACTGCTACACGCACACACACAAACACACATATACAATATATACAGCAACACATACTATAAAGCCAGTGAGCGAAATGAAGTAGTTGACGCAACAGTTGCGCAACGCTGAAGGGCCGCACACGCTTTGAGCTCACAAATGGAATTGGACGCAGGGCTGGAGTAGCAGAAGGCGCTTTGCCGAACGCAATGGTTGGGGGCGCGGGAGCCTGCAGAAGGGCGTAAACGCATTAAAGTTAAAACACTCACGCACTCAAGCGCCACAACCATCTCGGTTGAACGTTCCTCGCCGCGCTATGCCGCAAGAGACCAGGCCCAGCTGGTGATTAAACGACGAGCAGCACATACCACCCTGCAACACATTAAGCAAACACCAGCAATTTTAAGAAATAAGCGCAAGTCTCTAGCCAAACACTTTGCGACATGCATTTGAATTACTTGTGGCTCCTCCGCCCTCTGTCTTTCGCCCAGCTGGAGTGTTAGGCGCGTTAGTGCCGTGTCAGCGTATGACCAGTTTACTGCCGACTTGAGCGTGACTTCGCGCCTTGCCCAGCCGCGCCACGTTGCCACATTTTCTCATTGAACGAACTCGCTCGCTGTGTGTTGCCATTTGGGTTAGAAATTTTTACGAAATTACTTTTACTTTCCTACACGCATACACACTCACACAAATGGAGGACATACTACTGATAGGTTAAGCTGTGGATAACCATAACACACACACGCACGCAACCTTAGAAATACATACAAATATTAAGATATTTCCAGAAATCAAATAGCCGTAGTGAAATTTAAGACAAACACTTGTAGTGAAAATAATAATTAAAGCAAAACAACACGAAAGGTAAAACAAAAATCATAGATACTAAGCCATCAAGTAAAATAGAGGATTCTATCACACACACACATATATAATATATATAAATATAAATATGTTAGTATAACTTAATAGCGTAATGTTAAGTGTGCAGGTGAGTAGTGGGTAGGAGTCAACCTCCTGGAGGTCAACAATTGAATTGCGCTCTTTGAGGATGGAGCATAGATAAGTAACCGTAAAATGTAAGACTTACCATATTAGACATAATTGAAATTGTTATTGTATGCGTAAGCTCTTTTCGTATGTGTGTGGGGCTTATGTATGTATGTATGTAAATATAGACACCCCGCAGCAATACGCGCAGGTTTAAATGTGAAGATGCGCTATCAAATATATGCAGATATATACTTAAAGTACCGTTTCCCACAACGCTTTAAATTTTTGCAATATCATTTTTACGAGTTTCTGTGTGAATATATTTTTTTTTTTAACAAAAATAATTTTGTAGACTCATAAAAAATCACCTAAAAGCAAATTGAACATTTTTAAAATAGTTGGTGTTGAATGACACAGTTAACCTTACATTTGTAAAAGAAAAAGCATTTGTAATTTTAAAAATATACAAAGCTTTTCCGTCAATTATTTAGGAAGATCTATAATCTCAGAGTTACAACTAACATGCACTCAGTGTTGTCGCAGTGACCCATGATATTATTCTTAAAAGCGGAAAGCAAAGCGTTTCCAAAACTTTCTTACATTTGCGTGTGGCTAGTGGCAACTCATAATTACTTAATACCAAACATATTATTTTTCTTGTCTCTAATCAGTCTTAAACTTGCACTGCTATTTAAGAACGAGCGAAATATGTAAAAGTATTCACAACTGACATTTTTTAGTTTATGAAGTAAAGTGGCGAATCGAACCCTCAAGTCGTGTAAGTCCAAGAAACGTGTATAAGCAAAATTTGTGTAATAAATTTAACTTCATATAATTTCTGCTTCTTTCAAGAGAGTTAAAACTCAACAAGTAGGGAAGTGGCAATACGAAATCTAAGCTAAATATACTTTCAAAAGTTGTAAAATTGTTGTTTTGTTTTCCTACGCAAATAAATTAACTCAAAAACTTTGTGGTATTGCTAGGTGGATCTTCATTAATAATTAATTGAAAGGAATGCTGAATATAGATTGCTCTTCCCACTGTTTAATGCACTTTCCTACGAGAGAAGGATATTGCAAATTATTTAAAAAAAATTTCAACTTTGAAGATATGCTAATGGTACTCAAGCGCAGTCTGTCAAACATTTAAACTTTGTCAGAAATGATAGCGCCTAGTTAGAACCTGTTTGCTGCCGCGGGGTGCTTAAACACACAAATAGTAGCAGTAATAAGTAAGCGTTGGCAAAAGTAACGGGTGTGCGTGTGTTCACTTGGCGGTGGGCAAGATATTCCGATACACGTGTGCACATATACATGTATGTAATAAGGATGATGGCCGCCAGAGCGTTTAAGCCGCACATAGTAAAATGAATGATAATAAAATAAATCGGTTAAAATTTGCAATAATGAGTGGCTAAATTAAATTGAATATGCTGTGTAATAAATGTAGTCGTAATTTGTAATAATAAGCATTATTTTTTAAATCCCATTTTGCATAAGAATGTACATACATACTTACTGCTAATTATGTATGTACATACATACATATATGTATATTTAAATTAATAGAGTAAATTACCTTTTATTTGCCGGCATTCAATTTCAGCTCACTTCGGCATTCATCGCATGCACTTCTATTAGCTGGCGTTGTTGGCCCGGAGTAAATGCTGAAATTATTCGAATTAATTTTTCAATGTCATTGATAGCAAAGTGCAGGATTTATGGTTATGTGTATACATAATTATGTATTCTGAAATAAAAAGTTCTCAATTGTGCGATTTTTAATTTGTTTTGTAGCTGGAGGGCAAAATTATATTTGGTCATGAAATTGCACTGCAATAAATTGGTTCCTGCAATAAATAACAATAAATTGTTTAAAAAAAATTTCAAACAAATATAGCAATATTTATACATATAAATAAGAATATAATTTTTGAAATAACTTGCAACTACCCTAAATGATTACATATTTTTATATGGAATTCTTCAAAAGCGAAAAAGTACAATATTTCCAATCAATTTCGAATTTTACAAAATTGTGGCAGCAATTGTTCGTATATAATATTAATATAGATGTATTTGTGCGAGTGTGCGCGCATCAAGTAAATAAGTTTTGTGTAGTTAAACTCATTTTGCGGTGTAAATATTTTATTAGTTTCGAATTAGTTGCTCTTTTGTGTGCATGCTATGAACTACAAGTACTTGTATGTTTGTTCGAAAAATATTACCTTTATTTGAGTTTGAGTTTTTTTTTTCAACCAACCAACGCACGAATAATCAGCACCAAGCTGATTATCAACCTAAAAATAACTGTATAAAGTTGTGTGTATGTGTGAATTTTCATTTTTAAATCCTAATAATTTAGTTTCCGCGCAGTTTTGAATTTCCATTTCCACACTTACATATACCCACATACATGCAGTCGCTTGCGGCGCTGCGCTGGCGTGTATTACCACTGCAATCAGTTCAACTGCGATGGCAATTGAATGCTAAACACGTTTATATATGTAAATAGTAAGCGAACTGTGCAAGTCAATAGTTTTAAGCTAATTTTAAAGGTAAATGAATTTCATAACAAAAACAAAAACATTAAACTCGAACCGTAAAACAATGAACCAACCACACAACACACACACATAAATATATTTATATAGTTGAACTATAGGCTAATTGGGAGAATGGAGGCGAAATGCCGATTTAAATTTTAGATGGTAAATACAGTTAGATGTTCATATGCCGCAACGCATTAGCAGTTAAGTAAACATGAAAATAAACAGTGTGAAATTAAGTTGAAGCAAG